AGACATTATGCTAAGTGAAATAAGCCAGACAAAAGGACAATATTTGTCTGAAGAGAAAACAATGTTAAAAAGAGACAGAAGAGAGCATGAATTCTAAAAGCTTTCCCATTCATGGTTCCACTCCCTGTGAGGTCAATAAACCTTAGGCTACTCAAGCCACCTCAAAATAGTTCCAAACAGTTTTCTTTTGATTTAAAAGTTTCAACTAGAAGGTAGAAACAACCAGAATGTACAGCATACACATACAAATACAATGTTTGTATGATTCTACTTATATGAGGTAGCTACAGACTATTTAATGGGTACATAATTTCAGTATGGAAGATGACAAAGTTCTAGAGATGGACAGTTGTGATAGGTACACGATAATATGAATGTATCTAATGCCACTGAGCTGTACATTTAAAAATGGTTAAAATAGCAAATTCTATGTTATATATATTTTACCATAATCAATCAAAAAAAGTTTAAGCTGATTTAAGTGGTCCTGTTACTTATACCAAAAGCACCCTGATGAGGAAACTTCAAGCCATTTTTCATTCTGAACCCAGAATGCTCAACCTGAAATATCAAACTGCTCATTCCACTCCCTACCTAACCCTTTCCTCCAGCACTATGATAAGCTAAACTCCTTGGCATGGCATATGAGGAGGCATTCCAAGTTCTGGCCTCTACTCAGCTTTACCCTTAATCCCTGTATCTCCCCATCCTCCTACTGCACCTTCACCAAGACCTTGTTTTCCTCAATGACTAAGAGCATCCCCACATTGGCTGTCTAAAAAAGCATTCATGCTAATGCCTTACAAATGTCTTTTTTTAAATGTATAGCTAAACTGATATAAGAATAAAGACATTCTTTAAACCAGAAAGGACAAAAATCTATAAACCCACAGGGGTACATTCAAGTATTAGGGCTAACAGCTTCTCTGTGGCCACTGCTGACTTCTAATGGTCAAAAGCCTGGATTTTAAAGGTCCATATTCCACAAGGAACAAGGACGAAGTCAGGGGCTCACATATCTTGGGAAGAAGGAAAGAAATCTTCCTGTGGAGAAATATATCCTCAAACTAAATCTCAAAGAAATCAACAAAAAAGTTCCAAAAAACATGAATTTACAATAAAAAATTACTATACAAATGGAGAAACAAGCCACAGCAAGGAAGTTAGCAGAATCAAAAAACACTACAGAATTAGACCCATAAAGAATGGGTATCAAAACTAGACTATAAGCAGACTTTCTTTACATTCTGTAATATATGTAGAAATAAAGGGAGACCTGAAACTACTTCAAAGAATATTAATAGCAGCTACTAAGATCTGTAAAAAGAACCAAAGAGAACTTCTAGTAAGAAACAGTACTAATATTAGAGAATATGAGTCACAACTGTACTAAGAATTAGTAAACTGGAAGATACGAAAAACTTATCCAGAATTCAGCACAAAGAATCAAAGCCACTGAATTACAAAACATAGGTCAAGAGCATGTGAAAAGGTCCTTACTTCTAACTGGAGTTCCAGAAGGTGTCAGAGAATTTAAGAGAGGCAATAATTAAAGGGATATTGCTTAGAAATGTCCCAGTACTGATAAAGAAAAGAATTATCAGATTCACAAAGCACAACATACTCACAAGCAAACTAAGTAAGAGAGATTCCATGTTGAGATACATTATACAGTAAAATTGCAAAACACCAAAGACAAACTGAGGATCAAGCAGATAAAGAGACTTGAAACCTTCCAGCAGAATCACAATTTAAAAGTAAACATAAGAGTAAAATAGTATCTAAGTCATTTTGAGAGAAATTAACTGTCCATTTAGAATTCAATGTGGAATTCAAGAACAAGGATAAAATAAACATATCCTTGAAAAACCACAAATTGATGGGGTTTACTACCAAAGATTTTCAGTAAAAGAACTTCCAAAGAAGGTACCTCCAAAAGAGGGGAAATAACACCAAAAGAAGGTTGAGATGTGAAAATAAATACCAAGTAAAGAAAGTGAAAATATCCACCTGGCCCTGGTTGGCTAGCTCACTACACACGTGTGGGCATTATGTTGCTATTGACTCTATATAAAGAGCTCTGCCCAGTGCTCTGGGTGACATAGTGACATGGGTGCAAGGCTGCAGGAGAGCAGAGCAGAGGCTGGAGTGGTGGCGGTGCCAAGGACAGAGAGGCCCAGAGGACAGCTGTGTAGGCAAGAGAGGCCCAGAGGCAGAGACCAGCTTGCTGTATGCAGACTAGCTCTGAGTGAACGAGATTTTAGTGATTGACCTGCCACTGTGGAAATAAGTTGGGTATAACCCTTTCACCCCAAGAATGTTCTACTGTCATTCCTTTGGTCACACTGAATCCATATTCATTCCTGAAGAACACAGCAAGCTAGAAAGACTTGATCCCCAGACATCAAAAGTTATCACAAGGCCACAGTATTGAAGACAGTGGATACTGATGTAAGGACAGAAAACCAGACCAATGAAACAGAATTGAGAGCCCAGGAACAGATGCACACATATGCATTAACTAGGTGACACTCAAGGTCAGTGGCAATGAGTAATAGAATCAATAAATGATGCTTGGACAACTGAAATGAAAACAAAACAAAGAAATTTGATGCCTATCTGACATACATCAATTCTAAATGACTGACTATTTTTAAACATGCAAGACAAAGGTATTAAATTTTTCTTAAAAAAATCTAGGATTTCTTTAAGAGCTTTTAGATTCTTAAATGAGATTTTTCTAACTGATTTTTCAACTTTATTAAACTTAAGGAAAAACATTTTAACTATATTAGAAGTAGGAGCTCTTTCGAATGAAAGAAAAAAATATGCCAAAAACTGAAAATCCAGCATTACTATCCATACTAATACAAAAAGCTCTCCAAAATCAGTAAAAAAACAAAAACAAAAAACCCAAAATGTAAACAAATGACCAATAAGTATTTGGAAAGTTGTTCAACCATAGTAGCAACCAGGGAAAGCAAATTAAGACCATGAGAAACCATTTCACATCCATTAGATTAGGGGAAAAACTTTTAATAAGAGTTGCCAAAAATGTGGATTAATTGGAACTCTTACACGCCTGGTAAGAGGATATGTCAGTATCACCACTAGGAGGAAATACATGGTTTTACTAGTAAAGCCTAAGTAACACACCCAATGTTCCAGCAATTCTGATAAACCTTTGCACAACCGCACCAACAAACAGGTACAAGAACACTCAGAACAGCCCTGTATGCAATTAATAGGGAAGAACTGCCAACAATCAAAATGTCAGTCAATAATATAGCGAAATAGCAGAGTGAAAAGAATGAACCCCACCTACATGTGTCAACATGGACTAATCTCAAAAACAAGCAAAAGAAACACATAAGAATATACATGGTTATAATTCCATATACTTAAAGGTCAAAACCAGCAAAATTAAACATACCATTTAGGAATGCCTATACATGTGATAAACTAGAAAAGCTTAGATAGAGTACTTAAGAAAAATTTCAAGAGAATGTTTATTTTCTGTCTGATAAGGAGGACTTAATTGACCGAGTGCAAACTACTAACTGTAAAGTTCCATTTCTAAAACTTAATCAGAGGCCCACTGTGGGCGTGTTTAATTTCTCTGGAAACCATATATATCAGCTATATACACTCTTTGATGTGCATTATATATTACATAATTTTTAATGACACAAAAATATTTAAAACACGATTTGAAATTATATTCTGGCTCATTTCCCTGCTTAAAAAAATGCCATTGGTACCTATAAGTAGTCTTTAAACTGTAAAACAAAACAGTATTAGCAACTAGTATTTAAGCACTGCTCTTACATTAACATTGCTATTACAGATATTCTTGTGTACCCTACCTTACATAATGCACACCAACTTGTATTTACAAGCAACAGTAAATGTTAAGGCTTTGTGCAGAAATATGAAATACTTTATTGACTTGCACCAATACACATTTTTATACACCAACATGCACCTGTTAACCAAATCCTTTATAAGTTTTAGTAACAGCAAAATTCAAAGACAAATATATCAAGTGCTAATAACACTGAGAGGCTATCATTTAATTATGGTTATTAATGTCTATCTTGTTACGTGAAGTCTCAAAATGGATCCTCTTTGCTTAAGGCAACTGCAGGACTAAACTGGAAACCTCAACTAAGTACCTGAATCTGAACGATGACAACTCGGTGGCTTTCATGCAAATTCATTGACTCAGTTTCCAAATATACACACACACCCCAATTAAAAGGAGTTCCCCCTAGGTAACCAATCTCGGTAGATAAAGCCCCGAAAATCAACAGTCATAGGAGTCAGCGACAGATTTGAGAATCTCCTCCTCACATCTCCTTGAAACAGATTAGCTTCTCCCCTCCAGTCCTGGGGTGTGGAGAGCAATGGAGAGGGGGATGTGCTGGGGAGTTCAGTCATCAGTGAATCACTGGACAAAAGTTAGTCTGTGGGACCTTGCAAAATAGTTATCTACTCCTTAATTTTCCGGATGGGTAAATTATGTTTCGGGAGGAACGCATCTGCTCAAGATCTAGCAACTATTTAAATTCATGTCCTTTTCTAACCCAGTGGTCCTTCTCCTACTCCATATTGTCAGGGACATAAAGGATCGTAGAGAGTCGGGTCAACCCCTCTGCCAACAGGTGGGGAAACTGCTGGTAAGTGACGCAGCTTGGGCCGGTAATCGCCAACCCTCTGCCAGGAGCAGCAGGAGCCTGACAAACGCAATGAAAATGAGTGGCAACTCTACTTCCCCTCTCTAAAACGGACGTAAGAAATCTAGATTCCGAGATTTAACTCGGCATGAAGCCCTCACTTCCCACGCAGAACCGGGAGGAGGGGAGACGGCAACAAGCACCGTGCACAGCAACAGGAATGCCGTGGCAAGACTGGCACCGATTCCCGCCTCTCTCTTCCGCATCCGTTGATGGAAAGAAGGGGAATCGGTCGGCTGCGGCGCCTCCCGCGAGAAGTGGTACCTGAGGCTCGCGCCGCAGTCCCCCGTCGTATCAGCACCAGAGCCCGACACCCTGCTTCCGGGGTCAAGACGCAGCGCCGAGGCAAAGATTACAGGCGCCTCAGGCCCCGCCTCACCTAAGCCAGACCTGCACTGCCACTCCACAGAGGCCGCGATAACTTCCGGGACGCTGTGCGTCACTAAGCAGCGAATTTCCACTTCCGGACGCGTGCTTCCCATCTCTAAGTCCGTCCGCGCGATTTCGGTCGATATTTCCTCGCATTTGATTGGTGGAGCGAGAGCGCTGGTCTCCGCCAATTGGTGGCGGGAAAATCTGCCCCATAGACGCCCGCGAGGCGCAAGTTCGGTCGCCCTTCTGTTGCCCGCCGGCTGAAGGGTTTACGCTGCAGTCATGGTGGATGTGATGGAGTTGCCCAGGTCGCGCATCAACGCCAGCATGCTAGCTCAATTCATCGACCGGCCTGTGTGCTTCGTGGGGAGGCTGGAAAAGGTGCGCGTGCTCGCCGCCCAGGGCATCCCAGCTGGTAGCCCATGGGGGGGCCCCGCAAACGCCACCGGGGTGGCGGCCTCAGGGTGGGTGTAGGAGTTCAGAAAGCCTTAGTGCATCACTGCGCTCCGCATTGCATTGTTGTGCACAGGACTTATTGCGCACTTTTTAGCCATTGCAGCCCCATTTTTGGCGCGGAATCACCATATTTTAGAATGCGCACCGTTCCAAATTCTAGGGCCCCTCCACTCGTTTTATGTTTAAGTAAATTATAGACTTGACTCCCACATGAATTTATTTTAGCTTAAGCCAGATTTGACTAGTTTTGTTTCCTTCTCAACGCAGAGTTCTCTTCTCAAACCACGTTTTCTCGTTTAATTCACTTTTCCATAAAACATTCCTTAGTTGTCCCTTGCAGATCCCGTAGCAGTCTGCTCTTCCCCAGTGTTAAAGTGCAGCCCCCTCATCCTGCTGAGGAGAAACAGGCCCAAAGCAAGGCGAGAAAAACTAAGGGAAAGAAAACTACTACAAAAGCTTTTTAGTAGTTCATTCAGCCACACATCCTCTTCGTGCAGGAGGTGTTATAACGCCTTCACAGGTGGAGAAACTGAGAAAGAGCAATATATGGTTAAAATCCTCAAGCCACAGGAAGTAGCAAAGCTGACATTCAACCCAGATCTGATTGAACTCTTTGCAGCTGTCTCACAGGAGGAGAACGCAAATCTGACACCAGTTCTCAGTGTACTTAATGCGTAATTTTTAAAACACCCTCGGGTGGTGTACTATTTAAATCATGGGGGCCACTAGATCTCACTTTTAGGTAGTACAGAAACCCCCTCCTTAATTTGTTTTTATAATAGAGATGCCAGATTTAGCAAATAAAAACACAGGACATATTTGTGCTAAAATGTATTGTTTACCTGAAGGATCCTGTAATTCAGATTTAACTGGGCATTGTTTGACCAGATATGGTAATACAAGATAATAATTTGAACCAAATAAACTGTTCAGAAACAATGGCTTTGTGTGCATTGACTAAGTTTGGGTCTATCTGCTCATCTCTTACCAAACTTACAATTTTTGTATTTTAATGAGATTTTTTTAAGTTTTGTTTAATGTGGGATTTTTTTTATTGTATGTTTATTTTTTAGATTCATCCCACTGGAAAAATGTTTATTCTTTCAGATGGAGAAGGAAAACATGGAACCATTGAGTTGTTGGAGCCCGTATGTTTTAAGTATTAATTCTATGTATATTATAATTGTTCATGTGGTTTATTCCTGGAGTGGATGTATAAAAGGCCAGCTTGTAAAACTTTTCTGGCTCTATAAAGTTAAATTTTTTTCCTCTTCTTACATTATCTTTCCTTTTACTTTTCCAACCAATGATCTTTGGCCTCTGTAATCTTTTTAATACATCCTTAAATGCTGGGTGACAATTCTCATTCCCTATGAAAGACATAAAATCACGTAAGAAAAATTTTCAATTTAAATTACTTTATTCTTCAAGTTTTACATATTTTTTAATTCTACTCTTATTTTTGTTCACATATTTTCAGTTGTCACTATATTTTATCATTATTGTATTTTCAAAAAATTTTTGTCTTTGAAGACAAAAATGTATGGTGTTTGGTTGAGGTATACAGAACATGCAAGACACAGATAATGAAAGATATCTTTCAGTGGGTCCTTTTAAACAAATTGCTCCTTGTAGAAATGCTGGACATTCTAAATGTCAGTGATTGTCTTCCAACTTAAAAGATGTTTGGATCTGAAGCTACTGCTAAAGGTAACAGGACTTCAGATATGTTGACAGTACTCAAACATTTTTTAACAAGTTAACAATTCAATTTTTGCTTTGGTAAATCTAAAATTTACTTTGTTAAATGAAAGATTAATAATACAAATGAAAGATTAAGTATACAAAATGAATTATCAACTGAAACTGTGATAACACTCAAGTTGACATTTTTTGTTTGTATTAGCTTGATGAAGAAATCTCTGGAATTGTGGAAGTAGTTGGAAGAGTAACAGCCAAGGCAACCATTATGTGTGCATCTTACATACAGTTTAAAGAAGATAACCATCCTTTTGGTAAATAAAGCATTCTGATATTTAGTAGTTTCATGTAATTAGGAAGAAAACAATTTTTAACTTAATATTCTTAAGTCTGAGTCCTGCTACATTTTCAATTTCTCTAGCATTTTTTTGATCCCAAAGGAAACTGGGGAGGACATTTTGGTTTCTAAGTAGCACTTGTATATGTAGGATACTCAGTGAAGATTAATTTATATTTATGGAAAGAAAAGAATTTTAAATAGGGCAATCAAAATAGTTTTTGTTTTGTTTTTAATATGTGGATTGAAGGCATCAAATAATGCTTAACACCCAAAACACAACCAGGTAATAATTGTGCCTGTGGGATGTCAAATGGATGGCATCCCATATCCCATATCTTTTATTTTTCGGAGCCACAGTTAATATGACAATCCATGTTGCAGTTTCAGAAGACAGGTTATAAAAATAAGTTGAATTCTAAAAGGGAGAGAAAGGAGAAATAGGTACAAATCTTTTAGATAATTATTGATGTGGATTAAATATTTGCTAAAATGTTTTTCAGATCTTGGACTTTACAATGAAGCTGTGAAAATCACCCATGATCTCCCTCAGTTTTTTCCTTTGGGGACTGTGCAATATGATTGATATTTATGAATTTTCTGATTGCACATGAGCTACACTAAAGACTATTAAAGGAGGTCCCTGATATTGCAGATTTTCTTGCGAGTTTTAGTATTTAATTTGTTATCTTTTAATTTCATTTACCTGTTAGATATTCCCACTTGTCATTTTTGATGGGACAGATATATTGACACTTTTCACATATGTCCTTATAAAGAATCACTTCTCCAGTATATGGCCAAATCAGATGCAAGAACATAGCAGTTGTCTGAATTTAGTTTTCTGTTTTATTAATAAAAGTTTAAATGGTACAAACCATTGATCATTGATTGTTATTCTTTCAGTCACATATTAAAGCATAAACTTGTAATTTCATAGCTGTTAAGGTCAGGACTTAGACTTACTAAATGAAACTCTGGGCCAACTGTGTTAAGAATTTACTTTCTCATGGACACCACCATGTTAATTACTTCCTTGGCACTCTAGAATCTATTTAAAAAGCAGAATTCTACATCTTCTGAAATTTGTGAGGACTTGTATTAGGGTTCTCCAGAGAGTCAGAACCAACAGGATATATGTAGATATACATGAGATTTGCTAAAGGAATTGGCTTAATTGGTTATGGAGGCTGAGAAGTCCCAGATCTGCCATCTGCAAGCTCAAGAACCAGGAAAGCTGGTGGGGTGATACAGATAGTCTGAGGGCCTGAGAATCAGGGAGCTGGTGTTAAAACTCACAGTCCAAGGTCAAAGACCTGAGAACTGAGAGGCTACTGCTTTAAGTCCCAGAGTTCAAAAGCCCAAGAACTAGGAGCTCCGATGTCTTGGGGCAGGAGATGGGACATTCTAGATCAAGAAGGGAGAGCAACTGTGCCCTTCTGCCTTATTCTATTTGAGCTTTCATCAGATCGGCAAGGGCCAGCTTTACTCAGTCTGCTGATTCAGATGCTTATCTCAGAGACACCTCAGACACACCCAGAAATAATATTTTACCATCTTTCTGGGCATCCCTTAGCCCAGTCAAGTTGACAAATAAAATTAACTATCATAGTACCTCTTTCTGGGGATTTTAAGACTGAGCATTTACTAGTGCCTGATCATTAAAACAGTTGATAGTATCATTTGTTTTTTTTTTTCTTCCTTTCAACTGTCATTGTCCTTAGTATGAAATTCCTTTTTACTTTTCCTTTGCACCTTTGTAACAATGGTTGTGGGCAAGTAAGGATGTGGTAAGGGTAGGACAAAGAGTCAAGCAGAATCTTATTTGATAGCATTTTCAGTTTCAACTTTGATATCAAAATATGAATGACTTAAGAACACTGCCATAGCCACTTAGGGTAATGCATTTTATTATAGGATGTAAAGACAGTTAAAGGTGAAATAAGAGGTTGAGGAGGGACACAGCCAGTCTCAATTACACAGTGTTGTCTTGAATGCCAGAGGAGTCAGTCCTCAATCATGTTAACATCTGAAAACTCACTGATAACCCTGCCTGAAACTTTTCCTTGAACTACTATGTTCAGTAAATTGTAATAAATGAATAGGGTAGTTGTTTTCCATTAAGTGAATCCTTTTAATTATCATAACTCCAAAGTTCAAAAACCAGAGAAGTGTGGAAAGGGGAAAGCTTAACTGGAAAGATTACAGTAGAGAAACCTGGCCAACACTACCTTAATGAAGTAATCAAGGCTAACATCACCAGTGATGACATACAGATAAAATGTGCTTTGTGATGTGATGTGCTAAGAAAAGCATTTCACCTCGCATTTTTTCAAAAACCCTTAACACTAGTCCAATCATGGGAAAACATCAGATAAACCCAAATTGAGGGACATTCTATAAACTGGTCAGTACCATTCAAAACTGTCAAGGTCATGAAAAACAAAGCAGAGAAGACTGAGGAGACATAACATCTAAATTTGACTTGGAATACTAGACTGTCTGATACAGGAAAAGGACATTATTAGAAAATCCGGTGAAATCTGAATAAAACGAGTTAAACAGTAATGCACCAGTGTTGACAAATGTACCATGGTAATGTAAGATAACATAAAGGGAAACAAACTGGGTGAGGAGTTACACAAGAACTCTCTACTATCTTTGTAACTTTTCTATAAAACTAAAATGACTACAAAGTAAAATGTGGGTTTAAAAGAAACAACCACCTCCAGAGGCTCCCCACTGGCTGTACCTTTGTATGGAATCACAAAAGACTCTGGATAGCCAAAGCAATCTTGAACAAAGCTGGGATATCACAGTCCTAGATTTCCAACTATACTACAAAGCTATAGTAATCAAATCAGTATGGTACTGGCACAAAAACAAGCATATACATCAACAGAACAGAGAGCCGAGAAATAAACTGATGCTTAATATGGTCTATATATATATATATATGACAAAGGAGGCAAGAGTATACAATGGGGAAAGGGCAGTATCTTCAATAAATGGTATTGGGGAAACTGGACAGCCATATACAAAAGAATGAAATGCATAGCTTTTCTTACATCATACACAAAAGCAGACTCAGTGGAGAACCAAGATGGCGGCGTGAGTAGAACAGTGGAAATCTCCTCCCAAAATCATATATATTTTTGAAAATACAACAAATACAACTCCTCCTAAAAAAGAGACCAGAAGACACAGGACAACAGCCAGACCACATCCACACCTGCGAAACCCAGTGCCTCACTAAGGGGGTAAGATACAAGCCATGGCCTGGCAGGACCTGAGCACCCTTCCCCCCACTCCCGGCAGAAGGAGAGGAGTTGGGAGCGGGGAGGGAGAGGGAGCCGAGGACTGCTAAACATCCAGCCCTAGCCATCCGCACCAGAGCGCAGACACAGTGCATGCGTGGGGTGCTGGAAACCAGGGAAAACAGGACAGTAAGACCTGTGAGTGGGTCTCCACAGCTGGTGCCCCTGGGACAAAGAAAAGCGAGTGCTTTTTGAAAGTCTTAAAGGGACAGGGACCCCAAAGCTGAACAGAAGTGTCCCGGGACACAGCCCAGGAGCTAGGAATCCCGGGGAACACTGGGTGCCCGAACACCCCGCAGCAGAGCTCAGAGGCCCCTCACAGCGATAAACAGCCTCCTGCCTGTTCCCCCTCTGACGTGGCTCCACCATATTGGAGAAGCAGCCTGAGGCAGACCACACCCAGAGCAACTGCAGAGGTAAATGAATTCCATAGCGGCTGGGCAAGATCAGAAGCCCCGTCTGCATGCAGCTGTCCAGCACAAGCTGCTAGAGGCTGCTGTTCTCCCAGGAGAGGAAGGCCAGAAACTGGCAAGAAGGGACGTTTTCTTACCCAACACATACCAGCTCCCCACAAATATATCTATCGCCATGACAAGGCTGAAGAAATTGATACAGACCAAGATCACAGAGGCAAACCCTGAGAAGGAGATAGACTTAACCAGTCTTCCTGAAAAAGAATGAAAAATAAAGATCATAATCATGCTGATGTAGCGGCAGAGAAATATACAATAGCTAAGGGATGATGTCTGGAAGGAGATTACAGAAATGAAACAATCTCTGGAAGGATTTATAAACAGAATGGATAAGATGCAAGAGCCCATTGATGGAATAGAAAACAGAGAATAGGAATGCATAGAAGCTGACGTAGACACACATAAAAGGATCTACAGGAATGAAACAATATTAAGAGAACTGTGTGCCAATCCAAAAGGAAAAATAACCGCATTATAGGGGTACCAGAAGAAGAAGAGAGAGAGAGAAAGGGATAGAAAGTGTATTTGCAAAAATAATTGCAGAAAACTTCCCCAAACTGTGGGAGGAAATAATCGATCAGACCATGGAAGTGTACAGAACTCCCAACAGAAAGGACCCAAGGAGGACAACACCAAGACACATAATAATTAAAATGGCAAAGATTAAGGACAAGGACAGAGTTTTAAAGGTAGCTAGAGAGAAGTAAAAGGTCACCTACAAAGGAAAACCCATCAGGCTATCGTCAGACTTCTCAACAGAAACATTACAGGCCAGAAGAGACTGGCATGATATATTTAGTGCAATGAAAGAGAAGGGCCTTGAACCAAAATTACTGTATCTAGCATGACTATCATTTAAATATGAAGGAGGGATTAAACAACTCACAGACAAGCAAAAGTTGAGGGAATTTGCCACCCACAAACCACCTCTACAGGGCATTTTAGAGGAACTGCTCTAGATGGGAGCACTCCTAAAACTAAATAGATGTCACCAGAGAAAATAAAATCACAGCAAAGAAAGCGGACCAACCAAATACTAACTAAAGGCAAAAAAATAAAATCACCTACCCACAAAAGCAGTTACAGGAAGCACAAAAGAGCACAGAATAAAACAACCAACATATAAAGAATGGAGGAGGAGGAATAAGAAGGGAGAAAAATAAAGAATGACCAGACAGTGTTTAAAATAGCTCAATAAGTGAGTTACGTTAGACAGTAAGATACTAAAGAAGATAACCTTGAACCTTTGGCAACCATGAATCTAAAGTCTGCAATAGCAATAAGAACATATCTTTCAATCATCACCCTAAATGTAAATGGACTGAATGCACCAATCAAAAGACACAGAATAATAGAATGGATAAAAAAGCAAGACCCGGAGGTGGAGGCAAGATGACAGCGTGAGTAGAGCAGCAGAAATCTCCTCCCAAAACCACATATATCTATGAAAATATAACAAAGACAACTCTTCCTAAAATAGACACCGAGGACACAGGACAACATCCAGACCACATCCACACCTGCGAGAACCCAGCACCTCGTGAAGGGGGTAAGATACAAGCTCCAGCCCGGTGGAACCCAAGTGCCCAACCCCCCAGCTCCCAGCGGGAGGAGAGGAGTCAGCAGGGAGGGAGAGGGAGCCCAGGACTGCTGAACACCGAGCCCCAACTGTCCAGACCAGAGCGCAGACACAGTGCATGTGTGGGGTCCTGGGTACTAGGGAAACAGGGTGGCAGGACCAGTGACCGGATGTCTCAGGCCGACGCCGGAGAACAAAGAAATGGGAGTGGCCTTTTTTTTTTCCTCCTCTTTCATTTTTTTTGGTGAGTGCTTTTTGGAAGTCTTAAAGGGACAGGGACCCCAATACTAGGGAAACAGGGCAGCAAGACTGGTGAGCGGGTGCCTGAAACTGGCACCTGAGGAAAAAGAAAATCGCACGTTTTTCTTTTTTTTTAATTATTTATTTAATTTGTTTTTTGTTGTTGTTGCTGTTGTTTTGGTTTGGAGACTGCTTTTTGGAAATCTTAAAGGGGCAGGACAGGACACTTACTCCAGAGGGAGGGAATCTGGGGATCTCTGGGCA